AAGAAGAAGAAGAAGAAGAAGAAGAAGAAGAAGAAGAAGAAGAAGAAGAAGAATTATTGCATTTATATAGTGCATAAATCTATATTCTACAACATGCTCTGCCTTGTACAAGTACATTATAACACCCTTGACAGAAACTTTTGACATGTATGAGAGCTTGACCCTGTAATTTCCATGACATAATTTTACTCTGCAATGCAGTGAACCATATTCCAGGTACTTGGGGCTCCGGCCACTGATTGGTTCACATTTAATCTCCAGGAATGTTTTCAAACAAAACCGGAGCCCTCATTCAGTACAAAACCTGAGAATGACAGGCACGTAACTAAATTGGTCATGTTGTTGTTGTAGTTGTTGTTGTTAGCGATCCAGCACTAAATTGGTCATAAAACCTAAACTATGGAACTCATTTTGACAACGCTTTTTGCAAAATGCAGAGAAATAAATAGTCTCAGTTTTAGCAAGTGTTTTACGGAACATGCAACACAATAAGATCATATACGTGCCGAAGATAAGAGGTGTTACAAGAGAATAACAAACATAAAAAAGGAGGAGGAGAGATAAAGACGATAGACGTTAGATAGAGAAGAAGAAGCAGCAAACCACACCAGAGCACCCGCCAACCATCCACAAATACAGTCTATTGCACCTGGTATTGGAACTGCTGCACAGTCAGGCGAGGGCTCTCCTTGTTCAAGACCGACTCCATTGCCCCGGGCTGAGGAAGACACACAAGAACGTGTAACCTAATTAGTACATATAAGGATATTGTCAGTGTCACAAGTATTCTTTTCTCTCACTGAAGTCCGCTTAGATACATTTTAGACCAGAGACAAAAAACTAGTTTTTCTTGCATTGTTCCTATCAGGGATCAAGAAATGCAATAAAATTGTAAGCCTTGACCATAACATTAACTCACTGAACCCTAGACCTACACTTTCAGAATTTCAGCTCTCCCTACAGACTTTCATCATTTTTTTTTTAATTGAAAAAAAACTAAATTTTAACATATCCTACTCAAATTTAGAGCACATTTTATTCAAACCTTTATTTTTGTGTATTAAAAATTTGAAGGCAAAATTTCTCATAGTTTTAATGCAATACTCCGAGGAAAAAGGTCTGTGTACAGAGTCAAAAAATAAACAAAAAGCGAAGAAAGGAAGTGTGTTCAAATTTCAAACACCCTCACATGGTTCACGAATATATAGCTTTCTTCGTTCTAAATTTGGGCTTGCACTTCTGGTCATAGTCTGTTTCAAATGAAAAATGGTTATTCTTCCAATTAGGCTATAGTCTGCTTCACACAAAAGTAGTGTTTTCAATCACGAGGGCGAAATTTTCCATGCCGATACTGTCGGTGTTAGGGTTGGGTAAATTAAACTACAAATTGGTTATGTTGTAAGATGCATCTTCGATAGAGATTAGGGAGGGTGTAAAAATAGAACATTCTCAAAATTCTGACTTAAATGGATTGCTTGTTGAAGCAACAATATTCACGGGGAACGAGGAAAACATAACAACACAGAAAAGCAAATAAAGGGAGTGCATAACAATGACAACAAAGAGGATGGATCAACTCGCTGAGACTGTCCCTAATTTCTACAGCAGGCAGCCTTCTTGACAGTCCACACTGAGCCAGCCGTTGTCTGACCAGCACCATGTTACTCTTTTTATCCTCAAATTGGCCACAATGAATTAATCCTATCCGTACGCCCTGGGGTCATTTTGTACCCCCCGCGGTTGTATTCTTCACATTTCAGAACACTTCTAGTACGAAGATCTATTTGAAACTTTCAATATTTCTCAAAAAATCATTTTGAATAGACTTCCATGCAAAGCGTATGGATCAGATTAACGAGTAAATTTCCTCTTTGGAAAGTTGTGGCACAGAGTTCCCCACCTCGTATGGATACGATAGTAAAACACGACATACGGATAGGGTTAAAAGGGCACGTCGATACTTCACTAATAAAGTTTAGCCATTTCTGAATCAATCTCCCATCTTAAACTGTGCAGAAGTGGAAATACGTCATTTATTTATATTTTCAGCATATATACATCGAAATACTTTCACTGTATATTTTCTGGAAAGACTTTTTTGGTTTTTGTCAGAGTTTTATGGCACTTACAACTGCATAAGGTCATATGAGCGCGCGAAACAAGTTGGTTTTATTTTGCAACAGTTCACCGCATGGCCTGATTTTGATCAAAGTTTCTATTAAAATGTTAAAAGGCTAAAAATTCGAGGTAAAAAAATTCACAATTTAAGATAACTTTTCAAATAACATTTACATTTTTAAACAATGTTATTCATAATTTTCTGTAAAAGCCAATGGCCTCTGGAAAGACTAGACAATAATCTAAATTTATATGACAATAGCCTAGTTTTCCCCCAAAAATCGAAGATTATTATACTGACTTATACAAGTAGCATGCACAGAGGTGGTCGTGATAAATAAGAAGGCAAAAGAGAAAAAAAAGGGGGAAACAACATGAAAACAGGGAGGAGGGGAGATTGAGGAGAGAGAGGAGGGGGGAGAGGGGGGGGAGG